ACTGACCAATCATTGCTCCCTGATCATGAACAAGTACGGCCAGATCTTTGAATATCTCATTCACCTCACCAATTTGTTGTTGTATTTCTTGGATCCCTTGCTCTCTTTCCTCAATGATGGCCTCATTGAAAACAATCTCATTATCTAGTAACAAGACCTCCTGCCTGAAGCACAAAACAAATAGAAGTTGAAGCTACTGCACTATTATCCAACAAGGAAATCCTATATTCAACACTTCAATGAATTGTCAACTCAAAGAACAAATGACTTCTAACTTTTATCTAATGAAACATTGTACAGGATAGCACCCTACCAAGGCTGGAGGTGCTCCACTTTTCTCTACATATAGCTGGTAGACAGACACATGCATCAATGTGTTTGCATATGAAACTCAACACCCACAGATTGCCAAAGTCATTATTAAACACTTTATTTGATGGTTAGGGCCCATGGGAAAGTAGATTGATTGCCCTTGCCACTAAACTTTGGAATTGTCTCAAAGACTGATTGCTTCATAGGATTTTCCATGGTTTCAATCACTTCCCATTTGCAATCTGACAGAAATACAGATACAGGTATCCCATTTATTATGCCCATATCATGTTTCTATATCTAGTTTCTGAAGCCAAGTGTCATGTTTTTTATCAGCGACACAATGAAAATTTGTTCATTAATTAAAAGGGGTACAACAAGAGGTTGTGAGAACAATACAGCCCTAGCTTCCCAACCCACCCATACACTTCATATCACAAGCCCAGAAAAGATGTTGTCCATTGACTCCCTGCTTAGCTAGGTAATCACCTAAACCATTTGCTAATCTCTGAAACCAAGCGCCATTTCTTTTTTATAATTAACAAATAACAATTTTATTGATTGGTTAAAAAGAGACTACTTCCAATTATAGAGTAAGATAATGACAGTTGCAATAAAGAGAGAAAGGTTAACTTACCCCACTTACCAACATACTTCTTTCATSCGGTTGCATGCTATTATGCCTAGATACCTRTATATGCCTAGCATGCCCAATAGCAAATACTTCTAGATGTAATTGCATTAACAGTGTAACACTTTAAAATATGTAAGATAATGTGTTTTAACAAAATATGCCATGAAAAATCTGCACATTGTAGTAATTTAATAATAATAAATTTGGAAAAATATAAATCCTTTTCCATAAATTTGGAAAGATATAAATCTTGTAAAATGACATTTACTTTGGCAAATCTATATCTATACTACTATTAAAAGCAGTGTTTTAAAAGTGCAAGGCGCAAGGGCCAATTTGCGCCTGAGGCACAAGGCACAAGGCA